AAGGGTTTTTGTAAATAAATGAAGATATCGAAATATATATATATAATAGAAATGAATTACAAGAGTTCAACATATAAAAAGTTATTTACTAACATCAGCTTTTTGAAATCCCCAGCCTTATCTAATAAAAGAGAAGGGTAAGTGGCAACCAGAACATAGTCAATAAGACTCTACATGGTGAGAATACCTCGGAGCAGTGGGGGGCTTGTTATTCTAGCAGGCAGAGGAATAATAAAACCTGTCGGATGGAAGTTAAAGCTAGAAAAACCCCAACCAGAATTAAAGCAGTGATTTTTAACAGTGAGGAGAATGAAGCATTCTGAAAGCTCTCCAAGGGTATGAGGGCTTCTTCATTACTTGAAGGTCTTAAATCAAGAGAGGAATCTTTTATAAAAGATATGTCAACCTGAGCATGACTGAATATCTCCACTACACTGTCTGACCTACACATTCTGAAGAAGCCTGTGCAATTTTGGGACCATCATGTAGATTCATACACAGACTGTGCTACAGATGTCCTAACATTTCATTAAAGCACCTAGAGCATTGCAGCAGATAGGTAGTTTTGAAAAATCAGCTCCATTGTTTTGGTTCTTGGTTGATAGTGCTTAAGGGATTTACTTGATGTGAAGCTGAAAGTACTTAGCATTAATATTAGTATTAAAGCCGGTCAGCATTTTTACATCAAAACATTTTTCTCAGATACCTTTTTTTTTCCCCGTTCACTAAATTTTTTTTGGCCATTTTCAGCAAAAATCTACAGGATTTTGCTGCAAAGAAAAACCTTCGGCACCAAGTCTCAGCGCCAGGTTTCAGAGCCGGGGCGCCAGTCCAAGCCCCAGTGTCTACACTGCTATTTTTAGCCCCATAGGTTGAGCATTAGGTGCATAATTGTGACGTCCCCTAGGGTGCAAGCTGGACTTTTGAACAGCGGTGTCCTGTGAATGCTCCCGCCCAGGGTGTCTCTCACACATGTAAAGGCACACCCAGCGTTCCATGAATGCTCACCCGCATAGCTCTCTGTCCCAGCCTTGCACCCCAGAAGGCTGCCTTAGACTGCTCATCCCACCTTGGACAGTGCACGCTCAAACCTCTCTCATTTTATCAAAGAAAATGAATCTGCACCAGTCCTTGTTAACCTGAGCAGAGATTCCCCAAACATGTCAACAAATCTGGGTTAGATAGAATCACTTAATAAACGTATTGGTTTTTTTAACCAATTCAGACCTTTTATGCCTGTATCACTTAAACTTTGTCATCAGTTAAAAGAATAAAAGATAAACATGCAATCTTATTCCTAAACCTTTACCAAGCTAAGTCAACTTTGAAGAAAACAACTTTGCTCACCCCTTTGGCTGTTGCAGACAGTTCCCAGTTCTCCATACACTGGCTGGATTCCCTCCCCAGCTGGTGACCAATCCATCCAGTTCCAAGTCTTTACTGAAACAAGATTACTTGAGCGCTGGGAGAGGCGCGAGGTCACGGTCTGGATATTTAAGGGGACACCCCACTGTTCTAAAGTCCAGCTTGTACTCTGGGGAATGTCACACTACCTCCCAGCCTGAGTGAGCGTATTTTCACCAATATGATGGCTTCACAATCTAGATCCAAAATCACATCGTTAACAAACATACAATGTAAACAACGAGGAGTCCTTGTGGCAACTTAGAGACTAACAAATTTATTTGGGCATAAGCTTCAGTGGGCTATAACCCACTTCATCAGATGCATGGAGTGCAAAAACAAACAAACAGTAAGCAGGTATACAGCACATGAAAAGATGGGAGTTGCCTTACCAAGTGGGGGGTCAGTGCTAACGAGGTCAATTGAATTAGGGTGGATGTGGCCCATTCCCAACAGTTGACAAGAAGGGGTGAGTATCAACAGAGGGAAAAGTAGTTTTTGTATTGACCCATCCACTCCCAGTCTTTATTCAGGCCTAAGTTGATGGTGTCAAATTTGCAAATTAATTCCAGTTCTGCAGTTTCTCGCTGAAGTCTGTTTTTGAAGTTTTTTTGTTGAAGAATGGTGACTTTTAAATCTGTTATTGAGTGTCTAGGGGGTTTGAAGTGCTCTCCTACTGATTTTTGAATGTTACCATTCTTGATGTCTGATTTGTGTCCCTTTATTCTTTTGCATAGAGACTGTCCAGTTTGGCCAATGTACATGGCAGAGGGGCATTGCTGGCACACGATGGCATATATCACATTGGTAGATGTGCAGGTGAACTAGCCCTTGATGGTGGGGCTGACAGTCAATAATAGACTTAAAAGTCGCCATTCTTCAACCAAAAAATGCTGTCGTCTCTATGGGCTAAGTATGCTTGGGGGATGCCCACTGGATCGGGGCCCCATGGGTGAGATAGGTGATGGAGTGCCTAGTTAGAGAATTCCTCCAGTCCTGAGGTGTACATGAGGGCACTGAGGAACCTAGCTTTGTCGGGACTGTGGCAGAGTTTTTTGCTGTCCGCCAATGGAACTTTAGGATACGTGTCTACACTGCAATAAAAAGATACAGGTCACGGAGTCTCAGAGTCTCGGTCAACGGACTCAGACTCGCAGGCTGAAATAGCCGGGTAGATGTTCAGGCTTGGCCTGGAGCCAGGGCACTGAAAGTCCACACGAGGGGAGGTTCTCAGAGCCTGGGCTCCAACCTCAACCAGAACGTCTACAATGGCTATTTTTAGCCCCGTGAGCCTGAGTCATTGACCTGGGCTCTGAAACTCAGTGTCAAGGGTTTTTTATTGTGGTGTTGACACAGCCTTAGGTGCCTAGCCAATTGTATGCACAGAAAGTTATGTATGTAGGGGATTTAGGCACCTGTAGGGCTAGGCAGCAGCTGGGCAGGTGTTTTGTGAATGCCAGTGATGCCTAAAAGTTGAACGTCGGTGCCAATTTTTGCGTCACTGGCACCTAACATCATTTAAATCTAGGAGGGTTCAGCATCTAAGCATTTTTCAAAACCCCACTAGGTGCCGAATTGCATTTTAGGCCCTTAGCTTTATAAATCTGACCCTATTTATCTCCCTTAAGGTCATTGGAAAGTCCCATTCTCAATTCTTTGTGAATAACATTTGGTATTAGTCAAAACTCCCCAAAATGTATTTACATAATTACTTAGACAAAACAAGACAATCAACTACAGAAATCATAGAATGCAGTTCCCAGTCTTGCAAACACTTATGCATAGGAGTGCTTTGTGCACATAAATCGTTCCAGTGAACGGACTAGGAGAACCACGGCCACCCAGTCACTCACATATACACGTGTTTACAGGAGTTTTCTGCTTTAGACTTTACCTGACTGACACTCAGTCTGAGATTTTAAAGTCTGGTGATTGCTTGTTCAAATCTACTTTGGGGATGGGGGAGATCAAAATCTCAAACTAACAGCACTAATTATCCTATACAAGACAATTTGTGAATTCTAACCCTGTATAATATAGTGGTTGCACTTACGTTACTATTAACCTGTAACTAAATTGTAAGTATGCTTTGTGAAATCTGTAATTAACTACTAAATTCACACAAATCAATGAGGAACTACCAGAGATAGCTGGAAAAAAACGAATGTTTTGTCAAAATTCGAAACATGACTTTGCAATTTGAAAATGGACTGATTTTTCATGTTTTCAAATTTCCTGAAGCAGTTTTTTTTTAAGTTTCTTGGGTTTTGAAAAATTGAAAATTGAAAACTTTAAAACTAAAATAGTACAATGGAGTCTGAAGGGTAATTGAACACAGTTTAACCTGAATTGTGTGCTGATAAAAATCATACCTTTTCATTGCAATGAGAAAACTATTTTTTTTTAATCAACCTAACTCAAATGTGCCTAGAGCAGGGATCAGCAACCTTTGGCACGGGGCCCACCAGGGAAATCCGCTGGTGGGCCAGGATGGTTTGTTTACCTGCAGCGTCCGCAGGTTCAGCCGATCGCAGCTCCCACTGGCCACGGTTCGTTGCTCCAGGCCAATTGGGGTTGCGGGAAGCAGTGACCAGCAGATCCCTTGGCTCACGCTGCTTCCCACAGCCCCCATTGGCCTGGAACGATGAACCGTGGGCAGGGGCAGCTGCGATCGGCCGAACCTGCGGACGCTGCAGGTAAACAAACCATCCTGGCCCATCAGCGGATTTCCCTGGTGGGCTGCATGCCAAAGGTTGCCGACCCCTGGCCTAGAGTAATATGTAATTCTTTTGTGTATTTATTTATTTATTTTGGAGATTTAAAGAAAATAATGTTTTAAAATGTATAGCACAAGATCAAGAAATAAAGGAATTATGTATAGTCTTATTTCTAATATTCCAGCATTAACAATATAGTAATATGAAGAGTACAAAATAATTGGTTTATATAATATTTAATAGAAATATATAAATCACTAAAATTTGGCTTTTCAAGTAAGCCTAAGAGAATTAGGCACCAAAGCCAAGTACCCTTCCAAAGGATTTGCTTGTCTAGCTCCCTTAGTTGTTTAGAAACCTCAACTTTTGTTCATGTTGTATTTTTAACACCTTCAGGACATGCTGAAAAATGTTACAAACTACTGGGTAAAAGCAGTGAAAAGGAATCATTGTTAATAAACAGTAAATGCCACTGTAAAAATACACGCATGGAGCACACTATACATTTCACGTTTTATATAACCAACTCTTTACATAATCCAATTTCTACCTACAAGTACCTTATCCCAGCCTTTGACATTTTAGATCCAAAATGCATTTTAAAAAAATAATGCTACTAGAAGCTCTGAATTTATTTGAGGCCAAAGTCACAAGTATTTCCCTTCAGGTATATAAAATGAAAATCCAAATCAATGGATTAAAAACACTGCTAAAATCTGCAAGATATTATCATGGTGAACACAATTCACAGATCCAAATCTTCAGAAGGTATAAATTAAAATTCCACCTTCATCTGATCCTTAGCCTCGCTCAGAACAGTAGGGAAACCTTGCTTATTGTGTTTGGGTTTAAATCTTAGTTCTTACAGCCCAGAGAATCCTAAATGTGTAGGGATTTCTTTTTCCTGTTTATCATTTTGCTCAGGGACTCTTTGAACTCTGTGTTTCGGATGGTATAGATGAAAGGGTCTAAAACTGGAACTAGGACAGTGTTGAGTAAGGAGACCACCTTGTTTATCCTAAAGGAAGAATGAGTTGAGGGTCTCATATACATAAATATCAGTGCCCCATAAAATATATTAACCACTGTCAGATGAGCAGCACCAGTAGAAAAAGCCTTTTTTTGGTCAGTGGAGGAAGGGATCTGGATGATAGTAGATATGATAAAGATGTATGATATCAACGTGAAAAGAAATGCACTGCCCTGCAGTATGACAGTTGTTATAAAACCTGTGAACTCTATGATGGATGTGTCAGCACAAGCCAGTTTCAGAAGTGGCCCAAGGTCACAATAGAAATGGTCAACTCGATTGTCTCTGCAGAACGGCAGGATCCACACTGGCAGCGAATGGAAGAAGATGAGCACAATTCCTCCAAGCCAACCTAGAAATGCTAAACGGAAACAGACTCTGATAGTCATGATGGTGGCATGATGCAATGGTCGGCATATAGCCAAGTAGCGGTCGAAAGACATGGACATCAGGATGACCGACTCCGTAGTGCCCAGGGAGAAATGGAGAAAAACTTGAGCCATGCAACAGGAGAAACAGATGGTTGTTCTGTCCGAGAGTAGGTTGGCCAGCATCTTTGGGACCACAAGAGTCGTGCTCCAGATCTCCAACAAGGAGAGGTTACAGAGGAAGAAATACATCGGAGTGTGAAGTTTTTGATCAGTCCACACAACTGTGATGATGAGGCTGTTCCCCACAAGAGTTGAGAGATACATGAATAAAATGACACCAAAGAACATCATCTGCATTCCATGAAGATTGGGAAATCCCAAGAGAATGAACTCACTGATCATTGTACCATTGCCCATATTCTCTCTTTCTCTCTTTCTCTCTAATGGGAATAAGAAATTAAGAAACATTTTAGATTTTACTACAAAGTATTAGTCTCAATTTAGTTATTTCATAATATTCTTTGCTAGTCTTTTCTGATGAATTCCTAGGGATATCCCAACTTTTCTTTTTGGTACAGTTGTATGGATAAATAAATGTAGTCTACTAGATCCATCCAAACTTGTGATCATTTCACTCATTTTCAATGCAGATGCGCCAGACTGAGTGAGAAATGAACTTGTATCCTAATTTGTGCCTTGAAGAGGGCAGCCTTCAATTCCTATGAGAAATATTTTGGTATTTTGCTGTTCTTTGGAGAAAGAAAAATCCTCATCAGGAAAACAAATATGTAATTAGTAACCGAAGAAGGGCTTAACCCTGCTGTCACCCATATAGTTAGACTTCTAGGCTCGGACTGGACCCCGGGCTCTAGGACCCCGCGAAGTGGGAGGATCTGAGAGCTAGGGCTGCAGCCCAAGCCCGGAAGTCGACACAGCAATGAAACAGCCCCGCAGTCGAGCCCCAAGAGACCAAGTCGGTTTGGCTTGCGCCAGCCACAGGTGGCTAGTTGCTGTGTAGACATACCCCACTCTTTCACATCTTGGATGAAATCTTGCAACTCTCTCACTTTTAGAAAAGAACCCAGGAAAACTGCCCCATATATACTACCTGTTTGTCAGCACGCAAGTCTGATAGCATCTCAGGAACCTGCGTGTTGGCCCTTGTATTCAAGGGAGCTATGCTTGTTCCGATGACTTCCCATACGAGTATAAGACTCAGAGGATATTACTGTCACTTGTCAAGGAGTGCCTGAGGAAAAAGAGTGCTCAGAGATGGGAGCTGTGTCTAAGCAGAGGTACTAAAGCTTTTAGAGGGCAATAAGTTTTGAACGATTTGTAAACTGCCCCTTAGCTCAGCTTGGGACCAAGGGGCAGATAAGTGATGTCAATTGTATGTGGATCAGAGCTTAGATTTCCCATGTCAGCACCAAAAAGGGTTATTCCAATCTAAAAGCGACAGAACTGGATCATTGTACAGTGGGAGTGCTGTGGAACCCCTTAATCCAGCAACCTCCATTTTGCATCACAACCTCTACACCAGACGGCCTAGTGGCATCCCAATTTTCAAGCCATTATCCCTATGCACATGGGTTTTAGAGCAACTGGAATATTAAAGTCAGCTCCTAATTTGGGGTCTGTATCTAACGAACTCTCGGCCCAAATAACCTCAGTCGACTAACACTGACACTGGACTACATTAAACGTTGCAGTTTGCAAAACAATCTAACTATTTATATGCACTTTAGAGCACTGTGAAAGATTGGCCCTTAAACCTGAAGCTTTGGTCCTACGACAAATCTTACAAAAAGAGCACCTTAGCTGAAGTAGGCAGCATGCACAAGATGTATTCTCAGAATGCTGCTGAGGTCTGGACCCAAACGTAGAAAACACGGGGTTAAACAAACACAATCTGTCTGTTGGAGCCAGCCAGTTACGCTGATGCAAGGCTGTCGGAAAACTCTCGGGTAAGCAAAGATGACCTAGTCCCGATGCCCATGAGCATGAGGCTTTCTCCTGCTTGTCAGCCTACCCCCAACAACATGTTACTTTCTCTGGACACCAACAGAGATCGGTCCCAAGTGCGTTGGTATTGTTTGTGGCAAATAAGAGCTGTAATCTGAGCCCCAGATGTGAGCCAACAGAGTTACGACAACAGTAAAGTTTTTATGTCACATGGTATATTTTTGGGGGGGGGCATTGACTCGGGAAACCCTCTCATAAATTACTGTCAAATGTGGACCTTTAACCCTACCCAGGACCCCAGGAAGACCTGACAATTTTCAGCAGAATCTGAGTAGGCAAGTGGAACTCTGAGCCCTCAGGACAAAGGGTTATTTAACTGTAAGCGAATCTCAACCATAAATAAAGCAGCGCTACATCTCCCCTGTAAGAGAGTGATGGAAATATCCCCTACAGCAGACAGCTACATTCATTGCCCAACTGCCTTTGACTTTTAAAGGGTGCCCAATTCCCCTGGCTGCCTTTGACAATCTCACACAGGCTACAGAACAAAACCATTCATGAGTTATCACCGGGAAGATATGTGCCAACACATTCCAGGAACTGGGATAATAATCAGAAATTCCAAAAGCTGCCCTTTGTCTTGCAGAAGAGAACAGAAGTTGGTGAAGAATGCCACCTGATCTACGATAAAAACATTTTCTAAACTGCTCGGTTCTATCGAAGTAGAACCTTATTCCACTGAAACTCAACTAGGGCCAGCTCTAGGTTTTTTGCCGCCCCAGGCAAAAAAAAAAAAAAACCCTACCCAGAATGCCGCTTCTGGAACTGTGCTTGGTTTGCTGGTCCATAGAGCCGGTCCTAAACTCAACTTCACTATCCTTCAAAAATGTCAAAGTTTTACAAGGTTCAGTGAGTTTAACCCTGCCAATCTATAGATCGCTGAACAAATGATCACCTCTCTTTTCTACTAACCTTTAGAATTAGTATTATATTCATATCAAAGGTAAAGGTTCAGAGATTTCAACCTTTCATACTTCTGTTCTTGTCTTTTCCTTGAAGTAATCATTTCTGGGTGAGACTAAACTTTTTGTATTGGTTTCTAGCATTGTTTCTTGACTAAAATCAAATATTGTTTGCTGGGAGTGAAGGTTTTGTCTCTGCCTATGTCCCACCGGGAGTCCAATTTCTCCAACTGCCTACAGTTCCTCTTAATGAGGAGTTGCAAACTAGTGTCAAAGTTTCACTTGCTAATTAAAAATTTTATCAAACTTTTCACATCTGCATTTTCGTTTCTCAATCAAGTCTATACAAGTTCTACTTGTGGATGTAATGCAGTTCCTCTCCAACCATGTATGTTTTTCTGTGAGTTCTTAAGCCCTGATTCTGTAAAGGAGTTAGGATGGGATTTTCAAAGGAGCTTAAGGAATCGAGGCATCCAGATCTCACTGCGTTTCAGTTAGAGTTGGGCACCTAACTCCTTTAGGCATGTTTGTCCCTTAGCTTTAAACAAAATTGAGTTCTTAGTCACAAGTATGGTCCTCTGGTCATGGAATACTGTGCCTTTAACTCAAGGGAGGTACCACTGCTAAAAAAACTGTTGTACAGTAAAATCCACAGATCCAGATTTTCAAATGGGATACACTGACATAATTCAACTGAGTTAGGCACTTTCAAAAGTGTTTCCAAACATGTTGTTCTGCTTGGATTGGTCACATTTTTTGGAGTCCACAGAATCCCAGTTGTTTAAGGATGTCTTTTTCTCCTCATGATTTTTCTCAACTCTGTGTTGCTGGGGGTACAGATGAAAGAATGTAAAAGTGGAGCTAACATTGCATTGAGCAGGAATACAACCTTCTTTATCCCTAATAAAGAATCAGTGAAAAGTAGGTCTGGAAGGACTCTGATTGGTCATCTAGGCCATGCCCAGGTGTTGAAGCAGGACTAAGTGTTTGTTGGAGCTCTGCATTGAAGGCTTTTAAGAGCAGGTTAAACAAATTCCCCAGGCAATTTGTTCAGTGCTTAACTAACCTTGAGTATGTAAGCGGGGGAATGGTCCCGCTATTGTGGGGAACTTTCCTGGCTTCTGCACTACCCCGGTGAAGTGGGCTAGCGAAAGGATCTGAGTCCCCGCTCCCACTTCCTTTACCCAGAGGCTGCCTGACCTCAAGGACTCCCCTTCCACTCTCCTGTCTGGCAGTGTCCTCGTAACCCCGACAAGGCTGGGCCCAGGATTCCTGGGGGGCTCGACCCCCAACCCTGCTGTGGTCACCTAGGACAGGGGCTAGGGTGTCCCCACTCCGGGGTACTCTCTCTGCACTGGGCACCTCCCTGACCCACTGATCATTTCATACAATTTAAAGCAAACACAAGTTGTTTAATTAACAATTAATTTTAAAGAAGAATAAGGAAAAATGGGAAAGGTTAAAGGAAAACACATCACACTGCTCTGTGGCCGGGAACATCACAACCAGTGTCTCTGGAACGTCAGGGCAGTTCAGTCTGTTCCTTGTAGGTCCCAGGCTCCTTCTCAGGCCCTGGCTGTGCTGCAGAGACGCTGCGGGTCGGACACTTGCTCGGGCGGTGGCCACATGCTCTCAGGCTCTAGGTGGCAGGAACCTTCTTCCCAGCGTCACCTGCACGGTCGGGGTTATGATCCCCACTCCAAGTCTGGCCTGCAGAGCCTCTTGGCTGAGGCGTCTCCCTGTGCTGGGCCCTCTGCCCAGGGTCCCCGTCCCCCTCCTCTCCCCAGCTGCTCCCCGCACCCGGCTCCAGCTCCAGCCCCAGCCCCAGCTCCCAGCTCCAGCTGCAGCCCGGCTGCTGCTGCTGCTGCTCGGCCGCCAGCTCCCTGGGCTGCTTGTCTGGCCCCTCTGGCTTTGGGGCTGCAGCTCTGCCCCCAGCACAGCTTGGGCCCCTGCTCTCTCCTTAGCTCGGCCCCCCTCTGTCTGACCAAGGCAATTCCAACTCACAGGGAGGGTGGGACCCCCCTGGCCTCCTGATTCCCTGATTAGCTGCCCGCCCTGTCAATCAAGCTAACCTGGAGCATTGGCCTCTCCCCATTGTTCCTGGGGCCTGTCAGTCTCAGGGTCCTGATTTCCCATCGACCCCTCCCCTTTTACTGCTGGGAGCTAGCCACCAAAACATCCCACTGAGTGTTAGTAAGGGGGCAACAGTCCCCTTACGTGTAGTTAGTACGTTTTTCCTAATATCCAACCTAAATCTCCCTTGCTGCAATTTATCACCCTTCTCTCTATAACAACCCTTTATGTATCTGAAGACTCTTATATCCTATCTCAGTCTTCTCCAGACTAAACAAACACATTTTTAAAAGCTTTCCTCATAGGTCAGGTTTTCTAGACCTATAATCATTTTTGCTGCTCTCCAGTGGACTTTCTCCAATTTGTCCATATCTTTCCCAACGTGTGGTGCCCAGAACTAGATACAATTCTCCAGCTGAA